CTCACCCCCGCCACCCAGGGAACAACACAAAAAAACAAAAAAACAGGGCTGTCCCCCCCAACTCCACCCCTTCAAAGGATTCACCCATGATAATAGGTATGATTATTCCTGACAATATCAAAGCAGCACTCGAGCGACGAGATTCCAAAGAAAACCCAACCCTCGAGAATAAGATCCAAAATTTGAAGAGAAGATTACATGGGGAAGTTTGACACGAAATACTCTAAAAGCAGCTATACCCAGTCACACGACAAATAACAACAATAATATGAAGGTTGAAGAAGAAATCAAGGCGGGGAATCAGAACATGCACACTCGACAAATGAACCCTTGATTTCCAAGGGGGGGGGGGGGAAAAAAACTGAACAAGAAAAAGTTTTGATAGTTAAATAAACAGTCCCACTTTCCCTAGTGACATAAACAAGCACAGTGCAAAGAAAACTGCTGTCAGGAAAATACGAACCACGTACAAGTCACGTGCAAAAAATAAAAATAAAAGAAACCGTTTGTAAAAAAACCAGGAATAAACACAGTATAATGATCAACTTCATTCATACGATAAAAGAAAGGACCAAATTTAAAATCGCAATTCAATAAAAAATGGAGTGTAATAAATGAGGTCTAACAAAAAAACATAAAAACCTTTTTTCAGGCTGAGAAAACTTAAAAAAAAACAAAATACATCATGTTTCACGCAAAAGGGGGGGAAAAAATATAGAAGGAAAAAACATCAACAGGACAACAATATACCATCTCAAATAAAAAGATTTTTCTACTTCCTTAAAAAGCTGACATTTCTGTAACAGATTAGATAAGTCCCCCTTAATACTATTATGTGGTGTATAGTGTACGTTACATTTTTTGTACATTATTATTTTTATTATTTTTCTCATACTAATCCCACTCCCCTCCAATACTCTATACTTCTTTTTTACTGCTATTAATTGTCATAATTTTTAAATTACAATCAAATCTTACTAAAAATTAAAAAATATTCATTTTTTTACCTGCCTTTTAAATTTTTATCCTACTTGTTTTGTAGTATTTTTCTTGTGTATGAAATTTAGTGTATTTTCCCAATTTTATTTTTTGAAAGTACCAAAACATTTTTTGCTAGTAGTCCCAACTACCTATTTTTTTACTTTTTATTGTCAAAAAACTGCTAAATTTATCTAATATTAAAAAACGATTTCTCCTAACCCAATATTTTTCATATGCCATCTGTCCATTTAACTTGTTTACCTTACTTTAATTTTTGTCCCTTATATTTTTTCTCCTTTATTTTGCTTTTTTTAAAACTACCCTGTTTTACATTCACAATTGTTAAAATAATCAAGGTGCTTTCTCGGGTGCTAAAGTAGAACAAGTTACAATTTTCCCATTATATTCCAAAACTCATTTATTTTTTAGTACTACCTACTATCTTTTCCCCAAGCCCAATTATTGATCATCACTTTATTTGACTAGTCCCTTTTTATTGCTCCTTTATTTTAGTTAAAAAAAAAAAAAACACCTTAGCTTTTATTTTCATTTGTTAAATAATTAGGGCTTTTTTTTTGCTTAAGACTTTTACTCTGTTTTATACTTAATTCTACCATAGTTTTCACTCAAATCTTATGTTTACAACATTGATCCGTTACCAACCTCTTATTTAATGACTTAAATGAATAACAGTTACTGTAATTCTACACTGCAGAACAATCAAAAGGACTTCTCATGCCAAAAAACAACAAACTATCTTTAACTCAATATCAGATCTTAAGAAAGATTACGATGACCTCATGCATTACAAAATTTCCTTACAGCCAATATGTTTTTCTTACCTAACTGAAAACCTGGCTAAAGCCTGATGTCAGATGTCTATGCCATTCCGGTTACACAGCCTAAAAGCTGAGGCCCGACAAAAAGGGGGGGGCACAGCCATATACTACTCGCAACTAGAATGTTCACTAAAACTTGCACAAGAATGAAAATGGGGAATATATAATAGCCAAATTCAAATCCCAAAACCCACAAAAAACCTCTACATTTATAAAAAATCTAAGAGTTCCACATCAAAATTAGCCAATTTAGTCAAAAACCCAGGAAGTTGATAACTGTGCACCATGAACAAAGTCACTTACACTCTCAGGGCTTTAATATAAATCTCCTGCAAAACCAGGCCACACTTCTGAATTCCAAACACAATGATAAAAGTATGTTCCACCAAAAATAACAAAACCACAAGAGTTACAGAGACTAGGTTTCCCCACTTGACCACATCTGGACCAACACCAAAATCCCCTTTAAAATCAGGCTAATTCAGATAATACCACAGACCACACCCTACTTTCCTCATAAAAACTCTTGGTAAATTACCCCAAGCACATAAAGTCATTCGACTTCACAATGAAACAGCCATTAATAACTTTACAACAGCAGTAGCAAAAATGATGGCACATGAGCTAGAAATCAATAAGATATTGATGAATGTATTAATAATTTTCTAAAAAAACCAATACCTCATAAAAAAGCCCGCCCTAAAAAAAAAAATAAACAGATGACAGCTAAGAGACTGAACATCCCTGGGTAAAAACCCCCTTTTTAAAAACCTAAATCAAAAAACCAATATGAAAAACAGTACAGAATGGGTCAATAACAGAGACCAAACAAAAAAGTTACTCGTCAATTAACCCGCCTGATAAAAGGGGAAAAAAATTGTATTTGGAACAATCTCAACTTTCGAGGTGATATAAAAAAGACCTGGAAAACCCTTCAGAAAAACTGGGAACAAAAAAATATCCGAATAGCGAAATAAAATTAGCAAATCAGATGAACCCCAACCCCACCAAAGAAACCAGCAAACGACTCAAGATTTCTTCCCACTATAGGACAAAACCTTTCCAATAAAATCCCCAAACTCAGTACCCCCCAAATGACTACTTCACCGGCAACTACCCGAACACACTGTTCCCAGCTCCGATAAACCCCTACAAGTCTCCCTTATTACAACCCCTAAAAAACAAGGCGGAGATTTAAAACCCTTTTCCCCCCTTTATTTTCAAAAAAGTGTCAAAGTGCTATCACCAATCATTGCAACACTCTTTAAAAAAATCCATTGAATCCTCCACCTTTCCCCACGATCAAAATGCAAGGGTCACCCGTCCCCAAAGGAGGGGACCAAACAGGTTAAAAACTAAGGCCAATATCCAACTTACCCCCTCTCTCAAAAAAATTCGAAAAATTAATTATAAACGAATCTATCCTACCCTTAATCTCCCAAAAAATACTCAACCCTGCCAATTTGGATTCGGCTAATAAAAAAATAAAATTTTCATTTACACATGCTGAAAATTATACACTGCAAAAGAGAAAAAAAAAGCCCCCCTGGGGTCTTTATTGACTTCGTAAAGCTTTTTATACGTTTTAACATGACTTCTTCCCCTAAAATTGTCCACCTATGGTAAAGAGGGCACTCCCTCAAATACCTAATCTTTTTTCCTCAGCAACAAAGCCAATATTTGTACGCAAAGGGGGGAAACTCTTCTGCACCCAATTACAGTTGGTGTCCCACAGGGGAAATGTCCTTTGGCCCTCTTTCTTTTCCTATACTAAATGACCCACCAAATCTTTGCAATTACTCAAACCCACACTATTTGCTATGAACACATACTCTTCTCCCACCCGAGCCCCGTCACGCTAGCCAATACTGTAAATACCGAATTAAAAAAATATTACCGGATGAGTATAACCAAACTTAATAAAAATTGAAAAAACCTACTTCTTTTAGTTTTGGGAAAGAGCTACAGTGCCCTTTAACATAATGATAAACGGATCACCATCAAAAGTAACAGAGGGAAAATTTTAGGGAAACCCTTGAAATAGCTCAAATTTCATACACATATACAAAAATTTCTAAAAAATTTTCCAAAAACTGAGGCTACTATCGAAGTAGGTATATGTCCACAGTCGCCTCCCGGCCCATATCACTTCTTATTACCCTATCTCACCTATGGAATTTGTGCATGGGGCTCAACAACAAAGTAACCATCTCAGACCACTAATTACCCAACAAAAGGCTGCAGTTAGAATGATGATAAATTCTCACTACAGGCAGCACACTCCACCAATATTCAATACACTCAACCTACTCACCATACAAAACATCCATACCTATTACTGCACCTATTACATACATAGAACACTCAACTCTGATATTAACCCTCCCTCAAACATCTCCTTGCCAACCTCAACAGAACACATGACCATAACACAAGGCACAGATCACTCTTTGATATTCCTCGTGTCCATCTCAGGCTATGCAAAAACTCAATGCACATAAAAGGCCCTAAAATCTGGAATTCATTACCTGTAAATATAAAAGAAACACTACCTGTTTATAAATTCAAGTCTCTTCTCAAAGATCACTTACTCACCCAAAACCAAATAAATACTGAAAAAACTGAACCTTATAAATTGTATATCTTAAATGTTTCTCACAATTATATCACATAAATGTTAAACCTAAAACCCAATCTAACTTTATTATTTTTTAAATACACTACCTAACAGAATACTCCATTCTACTGAATTTACAACAATGCATGCAACCATATGACCTGTCTTTGTAATACTCATTTGTGCTTTATAGTAATCTGTTTACATTAATGTTTTTCACTGATTTCATCATTGCTTAGTTAATCTTAAGTTAATTTTAAGCCAGCCCGTAATGCTATGCATAGTATAAGTGGCTTTGGCATGCTGCTCTTATCTGTATTTTTTTGTACCTCTGTATGTGTGCTCAAATTATAAATAAATAAATAAATAAATTATTATTAGCCAGTTCTCTGCCCTTAAATCTTTAACGGTTTTGGTGGGCAGCCGGTTATTGAACTTAGGTTGTGTGTATGTGTCTGGCCCTGCTGGGGGTTAGTTAGGTGCTCCACCTGATCTAATTAGGAACTTTTAGTTCCTGTTTCTATTAACTTAGGAACTTTTGTTCTTTTTCTTTCCTGGTTCAGCTTTGTGCAACAAATCTTGCTGGTGTGATCGACAAGTTTGGCTGGATGATACAGCTTCACCTCTTACTCACCCTTATAAACCCAACAAAGACAAACATATTTCTCTCCTTGGACTAAACAACATTTTTCCTGCCAAAAACACAACAATGGCGAGTTTTTCCTACAATACCGCAAGTTTGCTGCAGAATGCGAGTCTGGGCAGCCACATAATGTTCTTGATGGAAAGTAAGTGTCTGAAAGGCAAGTTTAAGGCCATTTCAAGTAGTGGCCAGTAATTATTTCTCTAATATGTAATAATAATATTTTTATTTCTATAAGAACATGACACAGACCACAGCTGACATCAGTGACATGACACGGACCACAGCTGACATCAGTGACATGATACAGACCACAGCTGACATCAGTGACATGATACAGACCACAGCTGACATCAGTAACATGATACAGACCACAGCTGACATCAGTGACATGATACAGACCACAGCTGACATCAGTGACATGATACAGACCACAGCTGACATCAGTAACATGATACAGACCACAGCTGACATCAGTGACATGCTGCTATATAGAAAGTCCCTTCTTACGCAGAGCATTTCCCGCAAATTAGCATGTGACCCACACCAGTTACCTAACACCCAGGGTATGACCCACACCAATCACCTAACACCCAGGGTATGACCCACACCAATCAGCTAACACCCAGGGTGTGACCCACACCAGTCACCTAACACCCAGGGTGTGACCCACACCAGTCACCTAACACCCAGGGTGTGACCCACACCAGTCACCTAACACCCAGGGTGTGACCCACACCAGTCACCTAACACCTAGGGTGTGACCCACACCAATCACCTAACACCTAGGGTGTGACCCACACCAATCAGCTAACACCCAGGGTATGACCCACACCAATCAGCTAACACCAGGGTGTGACCCACACCCGCCCCA